TTCCATGGCTAGGAAGGGAGACTGCCACAGTTGACAGGTCCCAAAGACACATGGAGATTCACAATTCAAAACCGAATGAGCAGGCAGGCACAACTTATGATCTCACTCACCATCTGGACAGAACTGACGGTTTTCACAGACCGTAGAATCAAGACGACCACATGACCTTGACAATGGAACAAATGACTTTGTTAACCATAGTCACCAAATGCATGGGACCTTTCCCCACTGGGGGCCATGGCGTGCTGGGGCTTAGGGCTCAGGGCTGCACGTGGCTGTCCCGTGACCTAATGAAAACCTAAGTCCGGTCAAGCTTGCAAACCTAAAGGTTTTCAAAGCTGACTCTGATCTACCAATAAAACAAGATATTTGAATCCCTAGTTAAGTTAGTAAATTTTGTCCCAATTGTCATTTTAGCACACAAGACAGAGAAAGCGAATGCCCAGCCGAACGCCTCCTGATGTAAAAATGGGATCTTGCTCTTATTCAGGCTGGCCTCGAACCTGTGAGCTCAGGCAGTCCACCCATCTCAGCCTCCCAGAGTGCTAGGATTACAGGCGTGAGCCACCATGCCCAGCCTAAATTAATGACCTCTTTAAAGATAAATACATTCATATTTGAGGTACTGGGTGATAAGACTTCATATGAATTTGGGGGGGACACAGTACAACCCATAATAGGCTTCTTCCTTGACATTCAAAGTGCTGGTCTCATCTGAGCTGAAACAAACAACCTTGCCAAATAGCTCCTGATATACCCTTCTAAGAGCATACTACTTTGATCAGCTTGCTGGGATAGCTAATGCATTGGTCTGTAATTAAAATCAGGGTCAAGACCTAAATTACAGAAGGAGATAGAAGAAAATGGGAAATTGTAAGTCTGATGGTTTAAAATTCAAGCTTATTAGGTCTGGGAGAGAAAAATATAGGTTATTGGCTGACCTTGTTCTCTTGACTTGCAGGGGAAAATAGAAATGAGCTTGGGAAGTGAATAGGGTGTACCCTGCCGGTTGTTGGAGTGGAATTTATGAACTTTCTCTGTTGCTAGATTCACCGTTTGGTGGCTTTCTGTCATAGCCTGTTTGAAAACCAGTTGTGGCTTCCTGATTCCTATTGTTAACCTGAAAAACTCCTTTTTTTTGTTAATGAAGTGCCCTCTCCTGCATATATGCACTCTTTAAACCTTGTGAGTGTGTAAGGTGCGTACAAAGCACAGCGTTGGTGCTGGTGACAGAGAAATAAGATGACATTACTTTCTTCATGAAGTTGTTGTGTAGGGAGGCTGATTTGTAAACCAAGAAATGCAGGGACGGTTGGAGATATAAGGGCCTGGCTTACTGAAGATTTTTATTTGGTTTTTAGTGATAGTGTTTGTTGGTGTCAAGCACTGTGTTAATAAGCCGCACACCCATTGTCTCATTTAATCCCTTCAATGACCCTCTTAGGTTGTTGCTATTAGTTTTCCTATTACGATGATAATTCTGATTATACAGGGGAGAAAACTGAGACTCGGAGAGGCGAATGAACTTGCCAAGGTCACACAGCTAAGGGCCACAGTGGGGA